ATGATGCACTTTCTAGACAGGCAAGTTGGCTCACATAAATATGCCCAGGGTCCCAGAGTTAAGGTGGGTAGAGCCAACCCAAGTTTATCCTGCTGCAGAGCCCTGGAATTTACACTATATCAAACTGCCAACCCAGTGTATTTTTTTAAAAAGAAAAAAAAAAGCTTCCTGTTTGTATAATCATTGTAAAAGTATGGATAAATGAAAAAGAAGAAATTGAAAAATCCTGTGTGTCGCACTACCCAGAAAGAACTGTTAACATGTTGGCATCATGTTCCCAGATACTTTCTTATCTTCCACACTATTCTTCTTCAGTAAAAATAGGATATACAGTGTTAAAAGTTCCAGTTGTATACTTTTGTTTATAAAACAATACATCATGCACATGCTTCTTTATCATAAAACAGTCTTTTATTATGCAGGGGATGTGTAGGACTCTTTATTCCTCCTGATGGATGCAATATTACTTATTTAGCTAACTCATTAAACTCTTTATTGTGAAACGCTTAGGGTTTGGGATTTTGCTTTGTTTTCCACCCTGGTAAATAGTTCTGTGATCAACGCCCTTATGGCTGAAGGCTTCCACCTTGGCTCCTTGAACCCTCGCAGGCCCTCCTCCAAAGCCTCTGCCATGGTGCTGCTGGAGGAGTCATGGCCTGGGAGCACAGTACCTCCTTCCCTGAGCCTCCTCACCTCCAGTCAGCAACTCATATGTGCTATCTCTCAGGTCCCAGCCAAAATGCATCTTCCCCAGGAAGCCTTCAGAGACTTCTCAGAGTAGATTGGGACCCTTTGCACTCATGACTACACAGCTCCTTCGTTGCATTTAACATAATTAAGAGGGGTTAACTGATCACATAATTGCTGTCTAATGATGGTCTTCCCTACTTCTCTACTGGCCTGTGAGCTTCATGGAAGAAGTGTTTAAAATTCTGTATTCAATGATATGTGCGCCCCAGAACCTAGGAATGGCATATGGTAAATAAAACAAATGATTTTAGCTATTAGATAAAGAAATCCAAGTGTTTGGACACCCTGAATCTTAAGTAAATCTTTGGGAAAATTGTTGAGTCACAGAACTTGTACATTTTCAAGACTTCGCAGATGGCCTAACTGCTCACCAGAAAGGTGTAATGGCTCCAGTTCACGCCAGTAGTGTGTAAAGAGTGGTCTCCCACTTGTGTACTTTCAACCAAGCCAGCACTTGTTTTTTAAAAGCCTGTTTATAAAATGTTGGCTACTGTGCCAATCAGTATTTTAACTTCCACCCCCACTCAAGTCCTGGATTGAGAGAGGACAGCAAAATAACCATTTTACAAAATCTATTCTGAGTCCCTACAGCAGCTCTATTTGCTTGTGTATTTACCATCATTTCACTATTCTGGTTCTGCTCACGGATCCTAGGTTTCCTAATTGTTACAATGATGACTCTGTCATTTGTTTATCTACCATTTGCTGTGCATCTACTATGTTAATATACCATGCTTATGCTTCGCCTGCTTTACCTCACTTAGTCCAAGCACAAACTAATGGGATAGATAGCTTGATCACCTCAATCAGAGAGGACTAATGGAAGCACAGTTGATTTTAAAAAACCTGTAGTGGAGCTGATATTTTAATGTACACAGGTTTGATTCTATTGCCTGTGCTCTGAGGAAAGCATTGCCCACCTTCTAGTTTCAATGAGAACTGCCTGCTCTATCAGATCCTACTTTTAAGTTTTCTTGAATTAGAAAACAAAATCTTACATCCAGCTCTATTTCAAAACAGTAAGTAAGTACCTGCTACATGCTGTACATCACACATCTACTCATTGTTAACATCTTTCTAGTGTTAGTATTAGTATTAGTATTATTCCCATTTTACAAGTGACACACTGAGGCTCATATAAGTTATAAAACTTGTCCATACAGCTAGGAAGCAGTAGAGCCCCAAATCTGAATATACAACCTACAACTCCCTTTCAATTTCTCCAGCTGACTCCCAGCCATGACATTTTTTACTCATTTACTAACTTGTTTGACAAGATTTTTATGAAATAAACTTGTTTTCTGTAAAAAGCACTAGAAGAGAAGGTAGAAGATGCTTTTTCTGGGCTGGGGATTTAGCTCAGCGGCAAAGCGCCTGCCTGGCAAGCGCAAGGTCGTGAGTTCGGTTCCGGGTACCAGAGAAAAACCAAAAAAAAAAAAAAAAAAAAGTATGTTAAGAAGATGCTTTTTCTATGTTACCAACTTTGTGATCTTGACTACGAGAAATTACAATTTCTAAAGTCTCTTCAAATTCTAAATTCTGTGCCCTTGCACAATGGGTAGTAGAAAGAGCATGAATTTAACAACAGAAAGGTCTATTTCCAAAATGTAACTTGTCATTTTCTACCTGATGGATTTTGATAGTTAGACTTTCTGAATTTAATTTCCTCATCAGTCAAATAGGGTTAAAAAGGTCTATCTTGCTGCATCATTCTGAGAATTAGTGTAACACATTGGACAACACCCTACATATAGGGGAATCACTACAGAGCAGTGCTGGCGATGCTGGGCTGGCACGGGTGGCGCCAGTGGCATGACAGCAACTTCCTTCCGCTGCCTGCGTAACCTCAGGCTCACTGTAAAAACTCTACCCACACTCACCACCAAGAGCTGAAACACACTCACACCCTGAACTTTCCTGTGACTACCACACATGCCTTCAATCTATCTTAAGGTAACTGTCCCTGGGACAGAAATTCTGAAAATGTACAGTCAGACTTGCATAACTATTAGTCTGGTCTATAAAGGAAGCAGCTTTGCTCCTTTAATTCTTTTTTTTTTTTTTTTTTTATCAACCTGAGGCATTCCCCTTGTGGGTGAGTGATCTCCCCAACGGCAGCAATAGCTAGGCAGCCGCAACCACAGCTCTCACCCTGTTGCACGGAGCACAGAGATGTGCAGAGCACCTGGCCCCCTGCAGGCCCAGAGCTCCAGAGCAGTTCCATCTGGTGGCTGCCTGAGCAAAGGCTGGCCAAATTCAAGGGCCTCTGGGCTTGGCCCAAGTAGTCAGTGCACAAGACTGGACTCTCTTCCCTGGGCCAAAGTGGCTCTGGTCAACTTTTGGCCAAATACCAGCAGCTTAGGACTCCGAAGATACCAGGAGTATCAAGGCACACAAATGACCCTCCACACATCAAATGTTATCTTCGTCTGTGCTCTAGCCAAGAGGGTAAGTGTTAGCATCTCAGTGCAGGGCAAAGGAGCTGGAAAATCATTTTGCAAACAAGGTGAGGGCCACGGAAGTGGACTATCTTCTGTGTGGTGGGCCTTAATCCTTGTTGAACTTCAGTCTCACCAAGAAAAATGGGGGAAAGAGGTGGGCAAATATTACACTAGCCAAACCTTACACCAAGCTGTCTATAACATACTAAACACTTAACAATCTTCAAAACCCCAAAGAGTAGATGGTATCACTCTCTGCACTTCCCACACGAGAAATGAGAGTGCTAAGGGGTTAAGTAACTTGTCTAGGGTCACACAGACACACTGCCTGGCAAAGACAGGGTTTGAATCTACTCAGCAGTTTGCCTTCAGACAGTCCTAAACCACTCTATTTTACAGAAGTAAAATTTCAAAGGTCCGATAAATACACAAAAAGATGCTTAACTTCAACTTCACCAGTGATTAAAAAAAGGGGTGGCAAAATAGACACGCTTACATACTAGTACACAGTATTCACAGGCCTTTTAAGAAAAGTGAGTTGTCAGTGTGTACTAAACTGTAAAGTACACATGCTGCCTGACCCAGAATTCCTCTTCCAGTAATCTCCACTGGAATATTCAAAACGCTTTATTGACAAGGATGCTTCCATGTGGCGTTACCTGTGCCAGACCCTCAAGCTCTGTGTGTATGTCATTGTACTTTCAGGACCCTTGTTAGGCGCTACAGAACTACTTGCAGCAATATATGAACAATAAATATTTATTTAGTTGAAAATATTATGTTTGTTTAAGAAATTCGGTATTGCTAACAATTCAGTAGTGCAAGTGAGACCAGACCCACATTCTGCAAAACTAAAAGAAATAAGAAAGAGGATGCTGCGAGGATGGCTAATACCCAGTGCATTCACGTGCTTCCTCACTGGGGCATCTGATTGGGTTCATCCCATGGGAGACACAGCAGACCAAATGTGGGAGTTATAATCAGGTATTATTTCCCTCACCTCCTTCCTGCACCCCGGTCACTCCACGCCAGGTCATGATTTCAGCGGAGGTTAAAATTCCTTACAGGCTCTGCTCTCTCCAGGTGGGATCTTTGAGAGCCATGACTCACACAGAATTTGGTGATACTTTCCCTTCCCCCTGAGCCTAGAAGGGGGTACACTTTCCACTACTGCTGGTCTCCGGGTGCCTCACCACCTCCACTGCCTCCACTCACTTGCCCTCTCTACATAGCACCTTTTACTGAGCGATCTTCCATTAAAGCCTTTGAACACACCATCACTCTTCACCCTGACTCCAAGTAATTCAGCCTCAGACTTTCATCCCATGCACGCTTATCAGCCACCTACTGAGGTGAGCAGCAAGAAGAAACCAGCACCCCCACAACTGCTGGCTCAAGGGAACAGCCATAGGTAGATTTTCCACGGGCCTCACAGCACCTTTCCTTCCAAATTTGATTGGGGCTTGGTTTTTTTTTAAGTGATGATGAATTAAGATGGCTCACATTGTGTTAGGTTAGTTCAGGAAAATCTAAATCCAGATTTTTTTTAAAAAAAGACTACATCTGTAGATAGTAAGTCCTTCAGAACTTTGTCTAATGGGGAAGATGTAGTGAATTTAAAGAAACCAGAGAGAGGCTAAGTGGAAGGAAACCTGTTTCTCCAGTGTCTCCATCCCAGAGAAGGCCACCACCCACCACCTCATCCCAGACCCGGAGCTCTGGGATCTCCAGCTCCATCTCTCTGAACCTCTCTCTGGCCTCTCCCCTCCCATACATCTTCATTTGTCTTACCTTGGTCCAGGACCTTACCTTTTTTTGGTCTGGCTTGCAATTTTCATTAGGAGTGAACTGTTTCTTTCTGCTTTCCCAGCTTCCAGCCTGGCATGGCATCTGGTCTAAAAGAGGTCATCAATATAGATTGGTTGCATGAATCAAAGTTTTATCATAGTAGCTTCCTATCCTTCTTTCCTCACAAATCTCTCTGCTATCCTACCTGGTGAAATCTTTCTAAATTAGAGAAGTGGTTACAACATTATCTAAAGTCTTCCAGTGGTTCTAACATGAATCTTTGCCAGGTGTCACTAAACTTTCTCTGTAAGGAAACAGCAGATATTTCAGGCTTTGCTGGCTATGTGGTCTCTGTTACAGCTACTTGACTTTGAAAACAGCCTTAGATGATAAGTAATGAATGAGCTTGGATTGTTTTAGTAAAACCTGATTCGTTAAACATAGGTAGCAGACAGAATCTGTCCCCATAGCCAGGGTTTGCTGACACTGTTCTAACCAGGTACCAGTAAGTCCAAGATGGTTGGCACAGCCTACAGGCCATTCAGTACCTGAATTCAACTGGCCTTTCACTCCTGATAGTCCTCCTTCACAATTTTATACATTGCTTTCCAACAGAATCACTCTACTTACAGTCTCCCAAATGGGCTCTATTTCCACGTATCTGTGCCTTCCCACTTGCTGCTGTGTCCTTTAGAACCCTCTCCCCCACTCATATGTCTATGGCCTGTTTTCCAAATCCTTACAGTGAAGCCTTCCCCTGATATTCCCCCAGCTCTACCTTTTCTTTGTTCCCTTTGTACCTGTTGGCATCATTGTACCCAACACTGTCTTGTTACTACTTATTGACATTGTACCCAGTCATAGAAGGTGACAACGCCTGTTACAAAAGTGCTTAAGAAGTGTTTGCTGGCTGGATTGAGACCTCTGCACCTTTCAGTAGGGGGATTCTAAGTTTGTTTGGGACAGTCCCAGTTTTTTCCTGTTGCCCAAATGTAGTAATTTCATACCCCTTTTCAGTCTCTGAAATGACTCCATTGTGAATGATGTTACATAGCTGCCCTATCTTTCTGCATTCTTTGTATACCTGGCTGCCAAGCTTACCCACCATGTGGGACCAACAATAGAAGAATTTACGGTCCCCTTTCCCAGTGTTCATTCTTTTCCCAATGTTGATCAGCAGATTAGTGTCTCTGGTTTCTTCCGGCTCAGAACAGAACAGTCATGGGGACATGGTAATGAGGTTAGCAATACAAGATCATTTTTCTAAACCCACTCAGCTCAGTGAGCCAATCACAGTGCTGATCTATGACCCCAAATCTATGCATCTCTGACCCCAAAACAACTATGACACAATGGGTCAAGGAGCAACAGTACTCCGTGGCATTACAGTGGTACCTCAGTTCACATATGCTTCTGTTTGCAAATAATTAAGTTTGTAAATAAGCGTTTGGCAAAATTTTGTTTTTGTTTGCAAACTGCACTGGGGGACAAACACAACCATGGCCATCTTTCTCACACAAATGCAAACATGGCCATTTTTTAAAAAAACAACAGATATATTCATAGCACAAATATAAGTTTAGGAACCGAGATGCATCTGTACATTGGAATCCTCTGCAGCCAGGCCTCACCTCATACAGGCCATTGGTGGGAGGTTCATACAGAAGGAAAGAGTATCTCATTAGAATGACCATTCCTTCTCAGGGCCAGAGGCATGTCTCCTGAACACTGTACCCAGGAAAGAGAAAGAGACATGCTGAATGCCTTTCCCCCATGCTTCCTCCACTTGTTTGCCAAGCAAACTTGGTTGCCCTAACCTCTTTCCTGAACTTCCTCCCACCTCCCCTGCATTTCCGACACTTCCATCTCTGTTACCTGGATGCCTCACAGGAATACAAAATGGCCACCTGGAAATGGGCTACATAAGGAGGGCTTGGTTCTTTGAAAATCATCCTGTAACACAGAGCTCTGAGCAAAAGACAACTGAATTACTTGCCAAAATTGTTTCCTTTTGCATACAAATCCTGCGTGTTATCTATACAGCCATGTCCTTGGAGGTGAGACTTACTATTTCCAAGAGAATCAAGTTCCTTCTGACCCCAAGATTCTAACTTGAATCTATACTCTTAGCTTTTTGTTTAATGTCTTTTGAGTAGTTTTGAATAAGTCCTACTCCAACCCTAGCTACATTTAATTCTCCCAAATAGGCATGCCTCTCTCATGATGCCTCAGCCAAAGCCCTGCCTAAAAATTTGCCAATAAACCAAAACTGAAACTTAGACAACAAAGGGACTACTAGCAGACATGCAGAGGGCCTCTTCATATAACAAGAGCTCTCCACAATTCTTTATAAATGAAAAGTAATCCTAGATTTATGTGTCCATTTGTGTCCTTAAAGCAAAGCTTTAGGAGCTACTGTCAAATTAAAGATCAACTCTTAAAACAAAATAAAAAAGAGGAATTAACATTCTAAACTTTTGAGAAACCTTCCCTCTTTGACTTACATTGCATAAAACACAGGTATATTTTCTGTACATAACCAAAAAATAAACTCCAATACCAAAGAACATGGTGAAAACATTTGGTGGCAAAAGCTGTGAATTATGAAACTGTACAGGTGATTTATTATACACAGTATTCTATAAGCTTAGAACAGGGGATCATAGCTGAAGAAGGAATGCTCCCCATTCTCAATGAGGTATCCATTTGAAGGAGAGATAACAAAGTATATGAATAGTTTACATAACATAGAAAATGAGATGTTCAATCCTTGAGCAATTTACACGAGCTCACTAAGTCAGTTTCCTCACCTTTCAAACAAGAAGTACCTATCTCCTAGATCTTCACAAAGATTAAGTGAAATGATGCAGATAGCAGGCATGGCACAATGTCAGGGCACAGACTCAGCTGTCACCACATACTAGCTGTACTGGCCTGGTAGTTCGTATTATTCTCCATTTGCCTTACATAGTTTCAAGAGGAGGTGGAAAGGTTATCTATGTAGGAGAATCCAGAAAGGCTGAGTGGGAGAAGTACAATTTGAGTGGTCTTAGAAGAGGGATGGATTTCTGGGAGGTAAGAGGGGGCTGTTGAGACAGGGTCTGAGGCTGGGAAGTATGTTTGTTTCATGATCATGGTATCTCCCCCACCAGCTAAGTACAGCATGTTCATTTCAACAGAAGGAAGAGAATGTGGCCAGGTTTGAGAGGACACTGACAAGTTTGGCCGACCTGGAAATCCACCAGGGGAGAAATGGGAGGTAAGATTGCACAGGCCAAGATCAAATTTTGGATAAAGTTTCACCCTCCCAGCTGAGGTACTCTGATGTTAGTCTATAGGCAATAGGGAGGCACTGACAGATTTTTGAGCCAAAAAGCGATACTGTTTGAGTCATATTTTAAATACATTTGTTGGTAGTGCTGTAGTAAATGGGTAGTAGTACAGAAAAGGCTAATCTAATAGCCTAGGCAAGGGATAGTGAGGATTAAAGCAGCCCAGAGAACGTAGAAAACAAGTGTGCAGGACAGATGGGAGAAACATTTTGGATAAAAATCAAAGGGCCTAACTGAAGGGAGAAAGAGGAGGTAGAGTTATCTTTTGGTGACACAAAGATTTTGAACTTGGATACAGATGACATTATATAGTTAGAAAATGTAGAAAGTGAAATCAATTGAGAGCACAGGTGAGTAGACACCCATAACTACTTTGTCTGACTCTAAAGAGTCTACTGCCAAAAAACAGAGGGGGAGGGGACAGAGAGAGAGAGAAGAAAGAAAAAGGAAGGAAGGAAGGAAGGAAGAAAGGAAGGAAGGAAGGAAGGAAGGAAGGAAGAAACGAGACAGAAAAAGAGAGAAAAAGAGAGAGACAGAGAGAAAAAAGAAAGAAAGAAAGAAAGAAAGAAAGAAAGAAAGAAAGAAAGAAAGAAGAAAAAGGAAAAGGAAAGAAGGGAAAGGGAAGGGTGAAGGGGAAGGAAGAAGGGGAAGGAAGGAAAGGAAAGGAAAGAAAAGAAAAGAAAAGAAAAGAAAAGAAAAGAAAAGAAAAGAAAAAAAAAGAAAAAAGAAAAGAAAAGAAAAAGAAAAAAGAGAAGAAAAGAAAAGAAATTTTCATCTTTTTTCACCTGTGAAATGAGTATATCTGGGGCACAAGAGAGTAGACATCTATAACTATATTGCCTGACTCTAAGGAGTCTACTGGCAAAAGAAGAAAAAGTAAGAAAGAAAAAAAAAGAAATTAATTTTTTTCTTTCTTCACCTGTGAAATGGGGATATCTGGGTATATCCCACAACTTTCATGAATAGCTTTACTGACTTCTAAGTTTGAGTTTTTCAGGGTCTAGAGTCTCTTTATTCACGATTCACTGTAATCCGTGGAATAAATTATGAACTACTGTCTATGTGTCTATTTATATTTATTACCACATAGCCAAGAAGCCTTGAATAAGTTGTCAAAGTGACCCATGGGTCCAGTTTTCTAAAACTTAGAAACCAGAAGACAGATTTCACCTATCTGCTAAATGTCAGTTCCTTTGGTGTATAAAATTCCTTTGATGCATAAAATTTATAGTAGTCAGTGAGACCCTATAAATTCTTGATACCTTAGATAAAAGTGACAGTTATCAGCCCTCCATACCATGGCTTCTGAACTTGTGAAATCAATGAATCACCAACCAAAAACATTTTTAAAAAATTTTATCTGTACTAAGCATGTACAGACATTTTCTTTCATTACTCTCTAAATAACGCAAGCTAGCAACTACTTACATAGTATTTATATTGTATTAGATACTGTAAGTAGCTGAGAGATAAAGTATATGGGAAAATGTACATGGATTATATGCAAATACTATGCCACTTTATGTAAGGTACTTGAGCGTCGCATATTTTGCAATCCACAAGGGGCCCTACATAGATCTCCTACAAGTATGAAGGGGTGGCTGTACTGTACTATCAGGGTCTAGTCAGGCAAATAAACCATAGTAAGTATTTTAACAGAGAGAATATAATGTAGGTATTTGACTTAATAGACATTAAGGGACTAAAAAAGTGAAATGAGAACACTGAGCTAACACCAAGTCAGCAACTGCAGGAAGTGTCTACCACCATTAAAG